TAATATTTAAATATTTTATAAAGAATAAATAAAGCAGCAGCATTTCAGATTGGATATTTTAACCCCTCAAAACATTTTTGTGGACATAATACTGTGCATGATACTGAATGTATCAATTTTACTCCATAAATTCCTTGCTATTCTTTCTTTTTTATTAATATTTTTCTGGATAAAGACAGAGCTTTCATAGCTCACCTGAAGTACCCGAGGTCCCCAAGTGTGATTATCTGAAATTTTTAAGATTATTGACTTAAAAGACCCAGTGGGGCTGCAGTTACCTCTGTTTAATGCTTTGTCTGGTGAATCACTTCCTACAGGGTAATGACTATTGCAAGTCTCAGCTGAATGAAAAAAAAAAAATAGGATTTAAATGTTTTGGGATTCCAGCAGAAAAAGGAAGGACAGCAACAAGATTTGGATGTCTTCATTCTCGTTCTTTATCACATCTCATGCTTAATACCTGAAATATACAATCAGCCAATAGAATGATGACAGAGGTTTTGGATTTGGTGGGATTTTTGTTGGTTTGGGGGTTTCTTTTGGTTGGTTTTTTTGGTTTTGGGGTGGTTTTTGTTTTGGTTTTTGGTTTTGTTTTTTTTTTTTGTGTGTGTGTGTTTTGTTTGGGGGATTTTTTATGTATGTTGATTGAAATGTTATAATGACTCATTATTCTAACTACTAAAAAAACCATCATCTCATCTATTTAGAAAAAAAGCAAGTTACCCCAACACACAAAACACCTAGATATTATGTGAACTAAGATAACATTTATTTCCAGGTTTTATGTTCTTTGTAGCTGGCTTCCATCAGATTTTCCTGATGATGAAGTAGATGATATTCCAGATGAAGTACGATGAGGATACTTTAACTCTTTTCCTCTCAATTGCTCCCCTAACCTTGTCTTACCTCATCCTGATTTGCTGCAGTTTTCACAAGTCAAAGTGCTGCTGAATTCCATTTTTTCCCCATAAAATCTCATTTTTTAGTTTCCCAGATCACTGAACCCAGACCCAGCTCTGCCTGAGGGTCACTCCCAGTCCTGCACTGGAAGTTTTTCTCCAGCAAGAGAAGTTCATTCTCATCCTTCCAGGATACTAAAGTGGGATTGTGTTATCACTTTGGACTTCAAATAAGCATCTTACCGAGTTTCCCTGACTGTAAATTATAATTTTTTTTCTTCATTTGATCTCCTTGCTCTTTCTTAATCCTCAAAGCAGGCCTTGCAAGGCTCTGTTTAATTGATTATTTGGCTGTTATCTGTTTCATCTTGCATGATTATCAAAGGCATTCTGGGCTGGCTTTGGAAGGTTTGTTAGCAGAGGGATCAGCTGGATCAATGGCACAGAACAGAGATGTTAATTGCTTTGTCTACAGCTCACTTTTAGTCCCCCTCGTCAATCTTGCCCGTCATGGTGGCGTGAACTCTTGAGACACTCTCCAAATATGCTGCAAATTCAAATTAATTTTCTTGTTTTGTGTTATATGTGTAAGATTTAGCCTCAACTGACACAACCTTTGGGAGAAAATCTGAAGTTTCTGGGCTCTTTTCTGATGTAAAACCAGATTTGGTCAGTCAATGCTGTTGCATTCTGTGTTATTGAAGTGTTGGCAGAATGTTTTATAGAAAATAGTTCTCTGTAATTCTACCCACTCCATTTGTACAGGTCCCACAAAATTGCTTTTGTAGGGTCAGCATGGGTCAGGCAGTGTTGATGGGTGTGGAACTCATCTGGCTCTGGGTTTAAAGTGACTTATTTTAATGAACAGGTAGAAATTTATACTTGTTTTCAACCTGATGGAAACCAAAACAGCAGAACCTTTAGAAAAGCTCTCTTTGTTTGCAGACAAGTTAAAACTCAGAGGTTTAAATCAGATATTAGGAAGAAATTATTCCCTGTGAGGGTGGGGATGGCCTGGCAGTGTCCAAGGCCGGGTTGGACATTGGGGCTGGAGCAGCCTGGGACAGGGAAAGGTGTCCCTGCCATGGATGGGGTGGAATTGGACGATCCTAAAGGTCCCTTCCAACTCAAACCATTCTGTGGTGCCACAACTCTGCAACCTTCCTGCATGGATTATGTTTGAGCCATTTTTAGAAGTATTAATTATATATATTTCATGTGAGATGTGAGAGAAAAATTAAACATAAAGTTCCTAGCAAGCTGGCACGTAAATCATAAAAGCTCATTGTTATCACTGGTGAGGAGCATCCATTTATGAAAGAGATTATTTTATTTATTTCATATTTTATAAGGAGATATTTGTCTGGTGAGATAGCGTAATTGGGAGTGAAAACCTGCAGATTATTTTAGGTGCAGGTGACAGGATGACAGAGAATTACATATCATTACAGGACACACAGAAATTTGTGTAAATGTTAATGCAGAAACGGGGGGAAAAATGGAAAAAGTTGAAGGGAGAGTGTGGAGGAAGAGGAACAGACACTGGGTCAGGTCAAGAGCATGGCAGCTTTTAGTGTAGAGGCAGAAATGTTTTAATGTGCTGGGGAGAGAGGAACTGCTGGAATCAGGGGTGAGGTGATGCAGCCACAGGACGGGAATGTGCCTGCTTTGCCAGCTCAGGGCTTGCAGTAATTCTCTTCCCATCTGAATCTCTCCCCTTTCCCTCCCATTGCAAACTCGGCAGCAAGGAATTGAATCCTCAGGAGTTTTGTTACATTAAAAAGGATCGAGTGGTTATGCTGCAAACCTTACAGAAAACAATATTTTAACTGGAAATGTTACAATATGCAGTACATCACAGTAACAATAATGCACAATAATACATTAACTACAATATGTAATTACATCCTTTGGGACGCTGTGGATGGATTGAGAAGTGCCCATACTTTGATTTTACCTCTCCTAACAAACATGGGATCATTGTGGGAATATCAACACAGGCAACAATCTCTGCCTTTTTTATTTTGTGTTGTTTAACCAACTTACCTTTGTCTGGATCCACAATAAGAGGGAGCTTTTAAAGCCCCATTATCTTCCCTCCCTTTCCCCCTTTTCTCAAGCCCTAGGTTTGAATAGAAATGTGTAAATAATGGGTCAATAACAGGAGGAGGCACGCACTGACAATCGTGTGAGGAGTCTTCAAGGTCAGATCTGGACAACAACAACCAGGGAGATCTCCTGTGAAGTTTGTTTTTTTTTGTTTTTTTTTTCTGTGTTCCAACATTTTCCTCCACTCATTTTTTAACTGTTGTGGGGAAATGGCAGATTTCATGTGTTTATATCTATTTTGTGTGCTTGTGCAGCACAGGTTGTGCATGGGCACGCTGGAGATACATCAAAGGCAATGATTGATTTGGTAGACGATGACCAAACATGTTTAAAACACTTCTTGTTCTTGTAAATGATAATTGTTCCCTTTTTTTTTTTTCTATCCAGAATAAATTGCCCAGACACAAAGTGTCATTAAATGCTCCTCTTTTCCAGCTTACCATTTCCCCATGTCCAAATTTCAATATTAACACTGTGTTCCTTTGTGAATTGAGCTTTTATTCATTATATTCCTTTTTAGACTAATAGTTATTATTATGCTGCTCATACTTTAGCTTCAGAGCTAATTATAGTCTTTGGCTCTCTCCTTCTGGAATATAGATACTGATATATATTAATGCCACGTACCTTGCTCTCCAGCCAGCACTTATTTCACAAGGATGCTGTGATTTTCTCCTCTTACACTGACTAAAACATCCCAATTTTATTTTTTTTTTCCTTTTTTTTGCATTATCATTTTGCCCTGCTGAAAAGCATTATCTGGGAGAAATCTCTGCAAAGAGAGATCACACCCCTCCCTGCCAGGGTTGGAAATCCCTTAATACAGCCATGTACTGTCAACTCACACATAATGAAAATGTCAATAGTGCTCAGATTGGAGCAGTTTAAGGCACTGAAACAGATGTAGCTCCACACAACATAAATCTATTGAGCAGAGAGGGGGGGAGAATGCTTGGTCACACAGCCATTAAAAAAATGAAAATAAAACCCAACCTCTAACTGAAATTAGCCCTGAAAATCCTGCCAGCAGATAATGCAGAGTGGTGAAGTCTGGGACAGCAGGGTTGTGTTTGGGTGGTGGATCCAGGGGGATTACAGGGAATGGGATCCCAGTTCCTGCTCCCTGCTGATGGGATGGCAAACCCTGCAATCCCCACTTCAGTCCTCAGCTCTCCTGCCCATAACACAGCAAAAAAAAAAAAAATATATAATTTTGTTCAACCTTCACCTTGCTAAATCCTTTGCAGGCAGGGTGGGATGTAGAGAGAGAAGTTCTGCTCCCATCACAGACACAAACAGAGCAGCTATGAAAGGCTTGGATAAAATGATGGAATCTCTGGTGTCTATCCCTGAACCATGCAGGAAAAAAAAACCTGAGCTCTTCCTTTCATTTGGCATTCCTGCTTTTGGATTGGCTGCTTCAGATTTAGGTGCTTCTCAATCAAGAGGCAAGGGCAACATCTGAATCCACTCAGGAAATTTAATATCCTTTAAACACTGCTTTGAATTTTCATTTTTATTTCCTGTCAGGTCTTTTTAGGTCAGTGTGAGTAATACACAGTTGGTTAAGACTTACAAAACGGTCACAAAATTATGTGAAAACTGCTGTTTAATAATCAGTGGAACAATGGCTCCCATGAAAGTGAGTGGCCAAAAGGTCACACACGTCCCAGGATTTATGAGCAGGGTAGTATTCACACAATTTATGCAATTTAGAAATTTCAGGGAGTACAGAGAAGACTCAGAGAATGGTGAAGTGGTTGGAAAATGTGTCTGTCAGTAGGAGCCTGCAGGTGCAAAGAGAATATTACCAATTCACCCAATGAGTCTCTGCCTTTCCCTGTGAGAACCCAAATGTGGATAATCAGCTCCTTCAAAAGTTACTGTGAGATGCTTGTCAGGGGAGAAAAAAGAGTCATAGTCTCAGCAGGCAATTAACCATTTCAACTGCTCAATGTATTTTGTGGATTTTTCTCTCAACAGCACTTTTCTTAAAGAAAATTATTCCACCTCCCATAAAATCTGCTTTGCTCCAGCAAGGATTTATTCATCAAAAAGCTTCCAGGACCAGTGAGAGCCTGTGAGGTAAAATTAATGACTGAGTGTTGGTATCAGCAAGGTTTCTAAATTACTTGTAGTCCTGGAGAACTTGACAGTGCTCCTGAAAATAGTTCAGGAAAGGCTGCAGAGACATCCTTTAAATTCAAGAGGATCTGAATAATTCTGTGGTGAGAGGCATTGCCTGTACCTGTGTTTGCAGGGTTTTACTGGGCAGGGCAGAGCTGGGGCCAGCAGAGATCTCCTAAAACAAATGTACCTCAGCCTCACATCGTGGTGTGCACTAAAAGGGAAAAGGAACACTGATCCCATTTTTCCATGCATTCATCATTTCCTCGCTTGCCTTGCCTGTACACACACTCGGAGATTGTGGTTTTCCTCACATTTCCCCCCTGAAGCTGTTTGTATTTACCTCTCCAATGACTCATTCTGCATTGTTTGTGATATTTATTTACCTTTGAAATCGCTCTCAATGCAAAATCCCGTTAATGCCATTGAAGGGCTGACCACTTTGTGTGGCATTGATATCCTGCAAGGACACTGAGGAAGGACGTGGGCAATATCTCTATTAATGGGAGATAATCTTATTAATGAGTCAAAAGAAATCAGCCTGCTGTTCAAAAAAGATAACAATTAGAAGGGAAATTGTGCCACAAGGAAATGTAATAGCACTGGGAAAGGTTTCCTTGTTGTCTGGAAATTCTCTTTTTGAAGAGTATTTACAGGACTGGGAGACAAAATGCCTACAGCACCCAATATTTCAGTATTGTGGGTGGGATTTGTCACTTTTAGGGCAACATTGTTGTAAATTAGTCTTTGCCAGATGCTTTGTCTTGTGGCCTAAATTGCTGTAAAACCCATTAGGGTGTATAATGCACATAAAAGGGACGGAGGAGTTGCAGAATCACTGCGATAAGGGATTATGTGTTTCTTGATTGTTATCCATTAAACAAAAGGAATTTCATCATCCCACTTGAATCTTGCCTTAGATGCTTGTGTTTGAATCCTTAATGAAGATTAAAGGCTGGAGCTGCAATCTGCCAATGGAATTTCTCCCCTCTTACGTTATTGTTCATTAAATACCAGTCATTCCTTTGTGCTTCTAAAGAAAAAAAAAAAAAAAGCTGCCAGGATGTTTTAAATCACAAATGTTGGGGAAGGAATGATGGGCAGGGAGTGTCCTTGGCCCTGCCCTCACCCCATCATCCCCCCTCCAGAATGAGAGGGACACAGTTTATTTATCAGCCCAACAAAATGATGTATTTACTCAGAGATTCAAGGCTCCAGGCTGGCATACACTACGTGGCTGTCTCTATATTGCAAATGCTTCATTGCAGGCTGGAGTTATTGGGGAATTACTGGGATTTCAATATTCTCCCAAGAGTCAAGACAATATCACTGCTAACCCTGGGTGTGTGCACCATAAAATTGCAACCAAGCGAAAAACCTGCCTGTAGTATTTTATTTTTAGTGGGTAATTTTTATTATTCACACTCTTGGTTTATTTATCTACTCGGTGTGGATTGCAATAATACAAAAGAAAATTTAAGAATAACTTTCAAAACTATTTCCCAGTACGATTTCTGTGGATATTGCCATTCTTCCATGAAAATCCACATGAAATACATCCTCTTATGAGTTTTGGTTCAGAGTCAAAAAGCTCAAAGAATGTAATAGAAAAAAAGTGACCTGTGATCCATTTGCTCAGCTTTCCTTCCCTCAGTTCATTTTCACTTGAATATCTGAAATTTCCTTCCTTACAATCTTGGCACTGTGGTCGTTTAGCTCTGAGGATTGTCTCAGGGAATTTCATTTCATGTCAGCAGCTGCTGAAGGTGCCCCCAGCTGATCCTGAGCTGTCCCCACGTCAGCTGAGCTCCTGCAGATGGTGATGAAGAGGGGACGAAGGTCTGGCTCTCTTCAGGCTCTTTTTGAGGTCACTTCTTCTGGGAAAAAATTTGCTTCTGAGACTTGACAGGCTTGGATTTAAAACTCTGCTTCTCCTGTGTTCTGGTGATGGTGGAGAGCTGCATTTCCTTGTCTGGGAAGGATAAACCTCGCCTAAACTCAGCCTGGCTGGCTCCACCAGGACTGGGGGAGTTCCTGGGAATTCAGGAGAGAAGGATCCAGCTTGACTAAAGGCACAGGGACAGACACCTGATCCCTCACCCTGGAACAAGTGATCCTTTTTCTGGCCTTTTTTCCTCCTGAAATCGAGGTGCAGATACTGAGTTTAACATCCTGGCTGGGTGTGTTCCTTCTGGTTCATCTCCTTCATGAAACCAGGTGGAAATCATGGTGGCTCCTGGTTAATCTCATTCATAAAATCTGCTTTTGCCTTTTCCTGTGGTTCACTTGTCCATGACTACATTTTCCTTCTCTCTCTATTTTATATTAAACAAATTATAACTGTACTCTCTCTGGGAACCTGTAGAGTCAGGTCTGGGGCTCTGGCAGTGTCACCTGTGAGTCTTTGACACTGCTGCCTGTGAGTCCTGTTGTGATGGTCTCGTGTCACTGAAATGGGAAGAAAATGTTGTGAGGAGAATGTAGATCGAGCCACTTTCCTATTCTTTCAGGTAGAAAGCAGATAATACTTCAGGGCTTTGTTGTTATTCTGTTTTTCTGAGAGCAATATTCAGGGGAACAGTCTGCATCTGCTGAACCCACCTCCTTTCCTTTCCCAGCTCAGAGCTCTGTTTCTTTGGGGAGACAACAAGAGTGTGAGGCTTGGTTTTAATATTCATTTAGAATCTCAGTGTGGTTTCTTTTCAAACAGAAAATCGCTCCCCATGCTGAATGATGCTGATGCATGCAGGGCTCAGAAAACAGCCTCGTGTCTTGTTTAGGCTTGGGAATTGGAAAAATGTCAAGATATGATGAGTGTGTAGATTTTCTGATTCTTTTTGTCGTGTAAGACCCTTGGAAGATGAGGTGTCGGAGCGATTTCATGCTGTGTAATATCATGTCATTGGCAGGGTCTCTTTGGTAATGGAATTTGGGTTTTTCAAAGTACAGAGGCTGCTAAATCAGCCTGCATGAAAAGCCAGGGTTTAGGGCTTGTAATTGTGTCACTTCAATGAGAAACTTAAAAACTGGTGTTAAAGGCAGCGCTGCTGCCTAGAAGTGTCTCCCAGAGTACAAAGGTACAGGACAGAATGGACAGAGAAAAAAATACCTTAGAAATAAAATCTGGTAGCTTAGTATTTAAACCAGCTCCACCCACAGCAGCAGGATAAGATCTTTCACTCCACCTGAATATCAGGAGGTAAAACTGGCGTCTACCCTTTATTTAATTTTGCTGCCTGTTAATTAAAAATCCTCTTTTTAATCCAAATTAAATCTGCTAATCTTTAGTGGGCTTTTACAAAAGGAAACTTTAAGTCAGAGTTTGAGTCCTTTATGATAAAGTTCCATTTTGGGGCAAAATAGATTCCATTTCAATTTTCAAAAAGTTTTCAGAAGTCTATTGAACATGGAGATAGGTGACTTTTTTTTTTTCCCCTAGGATTTTTCTCCCCAGTAAGACACATGGCACTTTTGTCAAGACAGGAATGCAATTGCTGCAAACTTTCATTATTATTTTTGGTTCTGTGTTGGTTAATCATAGAATCATTGATTGGTTTGGATTGGAAAGGATCTCCTCATCCAACCCCTCTGCCATGGGCAGGGACACCTTCCACTATCCCAGGCTGCCCCAAGCTCTGCCCAACCTGGCCTTGGACATTTCCAGGGATGGAGATTAAAAGCAAACAAGCTGTTATTAAAACAAATAACCAAAAAAAAATCACAATTCTTCGGGAATTTTCCTCTAAATAGTGTTGTGCAATGCTTTTGAAAGAGGAGCCAAAGGTTCTTGTGTGTGTGTTCACAGTGGCCCCATGAGACAGAGATCCTGAGTGTGGCTCCAGTTAGAAAAAAAAAGCAAATTTGACCAAGAAAATGTTTATTTCTACCATTTTCAGGGTGATGGAGTTTAGCCACCTTCTCTTCAAGGAAAAAAAAAAAGAACAAAAAAACAACAAACAAACTACAGGCTGAATGGGACAGGGTTTGGAGTGTGACAAAGATGAAATAGGTGTGACAGCCCTGGCCAGCTTTGTGGCAGATCCACGGGGCCCTTGAAGCCCACTGTGCCTGGCAGAAATGTCCCTTGCTGTCCTCACTGCTCCTGCAGCTGAAGCTTCTAAACTCTGCACGTCCAGATTGCACAAGTGTGCATTTAGGTTTGGGGCGTTTGTTCTCAGGGTAAATATTTGTTATGGATCCCCGAGGTCTCAGCCTTCTGTTTCGTGCATCCATAAACTCTGGCTGCCATCAGGACATTGGCACTGTCCCCCTGGTGCTGCTCAGCTCCACATCTCACTGCTCCCATTGCCCCTCCACACCTGAGCTCAGCATCCCTGCCCAAGCCAGGCACACACGGTGTTTGTGCTGCCCCTGGCACCTGCTTCCATCCCCCTGCTCTGACCCCAAAGCAGGAATCCTCACAGGCAAGCAGTGAAGGAAATTGCCATGCCCAGGGACACCAACGCTGTTTTATTTTCATGGGGTTTAACCTGAAGCAGGTCTGTGGCTCTTTCTGGTGATGCATGGCTTTTCCCTGGGGGCTGTTTTACTTTTTAATATTTGATCATGCCCTGCAGATGGTCGTGTGGGCTTCCAAGGGGATGGGCCAGGTGTTTTCCTACACTCATGCAGAGCATCCACTGAGAGAGTTATTGCCTCACACAGCAAATGGATGTGGCTGGAATGATTTTTACACTCTGCAAATGAAACTGTGGGCTTTATTTGGGCTGTTTTTTTTAAGCTGAAGTCCTTCATTCATCCTTGAATGGTGGTACTTCAATATTTCTGTAGAGGGCTGCAGCAGAAGTTTTGTAGCATATAAAATGACACTTGTGAGTTGATGGCACACAATCTGTGCCCATGTGAGCAGACAAGAGGAAGAGGGAGGCAAAAGTCTGAGATATGGAATATTTCTGTAAAATCCTGTAAAAACACGTTGATCAGAGGAATAATAGTAT